TACTTAGCAAGTATTTTACCTATACTTACAAGTTTTAGATCTTAATATTACCAGTTTTGTTTTAGTATTAGCCTATAATTTCTCCCTCCAGTGGAAAATTTAAAAATCTTAATCCCCTTTCAGTTAGTTGACAAGTGGTATGAAGAGTTCTCTGTTACAATCATACTAAACCAAAGAATATGTGAAAGGAAATCTTTGCATAAAAGTACAGGAGAGCAAATACATGTATGGAGGGCCTTCTAATACTGTAACATTTGATTTAAGCCACCTCTACTGTTATTACCAAAGGTTACTTATTAACTTGTATACTGTAGAATTGATTTGTCTTTATTCATGCTGTCATTTGTTGAAATCAGCCTTTGGCATGAGGTAAAATTAAGAGGTGCCACATAATTCTACAGCTAAATTGGATGAACATTTATGATTCTAGTCTTGGCACTGTTTACACTTGACTGCTATAATCCACTGCAACTGTAATTTTATTGTGCTCGATTTTTATTGTGTCTCTATGTAAAGTGCATTGGTAGGTAGTTAAAAGATAGACGAATGAGATACAGCTCCTGTCCTTAAAGGTCTTGTCAGTAGTTACAGTCTAATTGAGGAGACATAACATGTACCATCAGCTTAAGTGCTGTGTGCTGTGTAAATGAAAATGATGGTGGGGCTTGGATGTGTGGGGATAAGGAGTTAACATTTATTGAACATCTGCTATGATCTGGATGGTTTTCTTTAACCCTCCCCCAGATTCTCTAAGATAGGTATTATTTAGTAGCTGAAAAACCTAAGCCTTTAAAAGTTTTAGGAATTTGACAGAGTATATATGTATATATTTATCTATCAGCAGTATCTGTGTGATGACATATAGCCTGGTTTTGAATCAAGAGATACCGTTACAAAGGTGCTAGTTTTCCTGACACCAGACTGGCACTCTTAAGACTAAAGAGCAAGGAGTCATGTTGGAATGGGGCCACCTGACAAAGTTTCATGGTGGAGTTGAAATTTAAGCTGAGTCTTGTAAGGTTGGGTAGGATTTCTCATGTGTGCAGCAGCAGAAAGTATACTGTTCTGGGAAGTCAGGATTGTGAAAATGCCAAGCAGGTGGGGACACTGAGTGACCAGTTTGGCTAGAGTAGATCATCTATATATATTAATTTATTCATTCCTTCAGCAGGTTTTATTGAGCACCTGCAATATGGCTTGGGGAATGCATAGGTCACCAAGATATAGTTCCTGCCCTTCGAGGAGTTTATAGTCTACTTGGAGAGGCAAACAAACATACCCACAAATCAGAGATTGTAATATACGGTAATCTGGGCTACAGTTGAGCAATGTTCAGGTTTCCGAGGGATTGCAGAGAGGGGTTCTAACAGTCTGGTGAGTGAGTGTGTGTTTGTGTGTGGTGTGAGTGCACAATGAAAGAATAGTGAAGTAAAGTTTGGGATTGAAGATGAGTTTGGTTTAAGATGTGAATTTGAGGTAATATCAGGATATTCATGAAACATGCTTTTTTTAAATTGCACTTTAGGTTCTGGGGTACATGTGCAGAACATGCAGGATTGTTGCATAGGTACATATATGGCAAGGTGGTTTACGGCCTCCATCCCTGTCACCTTTATCTGGCATTTCTTTAAGCAATTATGGGACTGCAGTTAAGGAGAGGGTTCAGAATAGCAGACTTTCTGAACTCTCTCAGAAAGGGGGTAGTTAGTATCCCTAAGGGAAGGAATTTAGAGACAAATGTACAGAAGGTCTAATTCTGAACTTTTGGAGTCACTTTAGGGGCTGGGAAGAAGTAGAGCTAGAGAATAATCCTGAGAAGGAGGACACCTAGGACCAGGGAACGGGAGAAAGAGGATGGTTGAAGCCAAGGGAGAAGAGAACACGGGTGAGGTGATCACCTGAGAGGCCAACGAAAAGGTGAGTTGAGGAAAGCAATTTGGAACCATTGGCATCCTTCCAGAGGACAGTTTTAATTGAGTAGTGGTGAGGTAATTCATGAGGTATACACAATATTGGAATTGATGACTTTGCTTATGGTATTCTTTTTTCATGTTGTCCAGTTTATCAATTTCTTTAATAGCATCTGAACTTTGAGTCGTGGTATAGGTGCTGTTCGCATGGGGTTAGTTTGGCTGGAGCTCTGGAAGCGTGTTGTGGATTCAGATTTGTTACCAGCCTGACTCGACTCACTGTTGGGATTGGGATCTTTTTATTATTTCGCTTCAATCAAAATTCTCTTTTGAAGTTTCTAGCTGAAGATTCTATTTGCAAGTTTCTTTTTACGACTGAGCAGTTGAGATATACATAATTTAAGTAGTTGCAGAAGGACAAATCTGGTAATGCAGGTTTATCTCAAGATGGCAAGGTTGATCTAAATATTTAGATTTTTCTATTATTTATCAGATGAAGTTTGAGAGTCAGGCATTTTCTTTTTTGACTGTTCTGTGACTGTGCAAATTGCTTAATATGCTTTTGTGGTTACTACCTGTAGAGTCAAAGCAGAGTAGAAAATTATATCATTATTTGATAGATTTGGTACCCTCTTCTCAGATAGCTGAGTAATTAGAACAACTAAGGCATCAACTGATAAAGTTTGTGTCTTCTCATTGGCTAACTTCTAAAATTCAGGCATCTTAAACCTACAGACACTCCTGTATCACGCGATTTTTCTGAAACTACTGTGATGGAAACCACAAAAATATGGAAACTACTTGAAGGCTTTTGAGGGTAGTGTAGCAGAGTAAGTGGGTGGGTCCTGGGGTTAGACTGCTGGGGTTACAATCTAAGCTCCACCACTTACTGTGAGGTTTCATCTCAATTTCCTCCTCTCTAAAGTAGGGATTATAATTTTTCTTACACTATGGAGTTGTAGTAGGAGTCAAATGAGTTAATAAATATAAAGAATTTAGAACAATGATTTGTATACGTAGAATAAAATGAATATATTTTAGTTGTTATTACTGTTTTGTGATCTCTGTTTCTCATAGGTTAACCCACTGTCCAACCCACAGGATGATTTCAGAATAGGAAGGAATGAAAGAATAGGGTGAGAAGTTGGAAAATGGCTCCTGAGGAGGAGAAAGTGGCTGGAAAGGGAAGTAGGGTAGGGAAAAGGTGTTCAGTTTGATAACTTTGTTATATGTTTTTCTTTGAGTAACACTTCCTTTCACTTTAAACTTCTTACTTTATCTCCTACATCCACCAAGGCACTAATTTTGTCACGTTTTCTTTGTCATTGCTGAGGTATTTGTTTCTGTCTGTGTAGCCCCACTGCAGCTGCCCTAATCTGGGCTTTCACCTTCTCACGAAGATTACTTCACAGCTTCCGAAGTGGTTTTCTTGACTCAGCACTGTCAATTAAGATCTGTTCACTGCGGCAAGACTGATGTTCTTGAAACAGTATTGTCATCACTTCATCAACAAACTCAGACCTCTTGTGGATGGATTAAGTCTTTTCCATAACCTTGTCCTACTCTGTCCAACCTCATGCTGCCTCCTGTGAGTCAGGATGGGGATTGGAAGGAGTGCTGCATTCTGTTCATAAAGTAATTATGTGGCCGTGGGCAAGACACTCAGCTTTCTGTGTCTCAGTTTACTACCCTATAAAATATGGATAGTAATGTTAAATATTGAAATATGGATAATGATAATCATGATTCAGTGGAAAAAAATTTGTGTTAGCATCTCCTTTAAAAATCCTTTAATTACTTAATCTGTTAAGCAGGTCTTTCTTCTTACTCTTGGGTAAGATACTGTGCTTTGTTCCATTTTAAGGCCTGTGTTTGTTGCTCTTGGCTTAGAATGTCTGTCTTCTACTTTACTGCTTATTCAAGTTGTTTTACTTCAACTCCAGACTCTGATTTAAATGCCATCTCCTTCATGAGACTTCTTACCCTTAGTCTGTGGTTCATGGCCGTCCTTTTCTTCTCATTTCCTATGTTGAACAACCTGTGTTTTATAACTTGTTACAATATTCTGGGCTCCTCATTAGTGTTCCCAATGCGATATGACGGTTAAGCTCCTTTAGAGAAGGGAGTGTGCCTGTGCTCTTGCTGCACCCAGTGCTCATTGTTCTCTGAATGTTTTCATATTGCCTCAGTGCCTTTCCCCACTTTCTTTGCCTTTGTTTTTCCGTTTAAACTCTTGGCCTGTATGTTTTGGCAATAGTGCAAGTTAAAAATTTAAATAAAGGCTGGTTAAAGGCAACTAATTTAATTTTGCTTTAAAGGAAATAATGATACCTTTTGATATAAGAATGTGTAAGAATGATAAGAAAGCCAAAATTCTGCATAGGAATTTTAAAATCTCTTAAAGTATATAAAGATGTATTCCTTAGAATGGAAATATACTATATACATATATATATATTAAGAAAATATTTTGGCCCTCACTCTTTCCTCTTCATCAAAGATCACAGATTATCTTGATAATAGTAGCCTCCTAAAACATATCTGTAGTTTGATTCTAAAATTGGAACTTTTTCATGCATCACATCAAATTAAGAAGCTTCTGCACAGCAAAGGAAACAATCAACAAAGTAAAGAGACAACTCACAGAATGAGAGAAAATATTTGCAAACTATCCGTCTGAGAAAGGATTAATAACCAGAATATATAAGGAGCTCAGACAACTCAATAGGAAAAAAAAATCTAATAATCTGATTTTAAAATGGGCAAAAGATCTGACTAGATATTCAGATCTCAAAAGAAGACATACAGGCTAGGCACAGTGGCTCACCCCTCTAATCCCAGCACTTTGGGAGGCTGGGGCAGGAGGACTACTTGAGTCCAGGAATTCAACACCAGGCTGGGTAACATAGGGAGACCCCATCTCTACAAAAAATAAAAATAAATTAGCTGGATGTGATGGCATGTGTCTGTAATCCCAGCTACTTGGGAGGCTGAGGTGAGCCATGCTTATGCCGCTGCACTCCAACCTGGGTAACAGAGTGATCTCAAAAAAAAAAAAAAAAAAAAAAAAAGCAAAACAAAAAACGTATAATGGCAAACAGGTATATAAAAAGGAGGTCAATATCATATATCATCAGAGAAATGACTCAAATTCTCATTGCAATTGAATATAATAATTAAATTATTAGAGTCACAATAATTTGTACATCTTACCCCAGTTAAAATGGCTTTTATCTAAAAGAAAGGCAATAATGGATGCTGGTGAGGATGTGGAGAAAAGGGAACCCACTCGTACGCTGTTGTTGGGAATGTAAGTTAGTATAGCTACTATGAGAACAGTATGAAGGTTCCCCAAAAATGTAAAAGCAGAACTTCTGTATGATCCAGCAGTCCAAGTGCTAGATTTATACCCAAAAGCATGGAAATCAATATATCAATGAGATATCTGCACCTCATATTTTTTTGCAATACTATTCGCAGTAGCCAAGATTTGGAATCAACCTAAGTATCCATCAGTAGATGGACTGATAAAGAAAATATGGTACATATACACCATGGAGTACTATTCAGCTATAAAAAAGAATGAGATCCTGTTATTTGCAACAACTTGGTTGGACTTGGAGGACATTATGTTAAGTGCAATAAGCCAGGCACAGAAAGATAAACTTCTCATGTTCTCACGCCCTTGTTGGAGCTAAAATGAAAACAATTGAACTCATAGATGATAAAGAGTAGAATAATGGTTACCAGAGGCTGGGAATGGTAGTGTTGGGTGAGGGGCAGGGAAGTGGGGATGGTTAAGGGGTACAAAAATAGAATTAGATAGAACAAATGCAATCTAGTATTTGATAGCACAACAGGGTGATTATGGTCACCATTATTTATTTTAAATGAAAAGAATGTTATTGGAATGTTTGTAACACAAAGAAATGATAAATGCTTGAGGTGATGGGTACCCCATTTACCTGGGTGTGATTATTATGTATTGTTGCTTGTATTGAAATATCTTATCTTCCCCCTGAATAATACAGTTACTATGGATCCATAAAAAATTAAAAATTTTGAATTTTTTTATATTAGGAGAATTGACAATTCTAGTTGGTTTTCTGGCTAGCTAGCCTATGAGTATGTTGTAATTTAAGGATTAACTATAACGTGATTTAGCTTTTAAATTTCATTAGTATGTCATAGATTTCTTTTCAGGCAAATAACTTCATTCTGTAAAGACAATTGCTCACTATGAGATGGCTGCATTAGGAGGATAATTAATTAATAGAACATAAAATAGAAACATAATATTCCTTTTGGTTTTCATAAAAAATAGTGAAGCTGAAAGTACCAAACAAACAGACCCCAATTTTAAAATATTGAAACTGAACATTGTCCAAAATTCAGTGGCTGTTTTCTTCCCCTTATAAATCTAAGAAAATTCCTTTAGGTCCAGTTGTGGTTGTTTATCCAATTGGTCATTTCAAGGATGACTGGATATGTGAGAAAATAACGTTATTATTGGGTATAACTTCTTAATTTTTACTTAGAGTCTGGACAGATCTAAATAGAGTAGAGAAAGTTTTAGACTAGAAATGGTACATACAGAGGTTAATATTTACAGTGAAAGCAGTAATCCCCCACTCTAGTGATTTTAAGTGAGTATATGTAATATGCTTAACTTTAAAAGTCTTAGGGAGTCAAATTAATTTCCTAATTTTAAAGGTTTTTAAAAATACTTGACCTTATAGAATCAAACAACAAGTCAGTTTAATAATAAATGGACATCTGTCTTTGAATCACTCTTTTTTTCTTTTTCTTTTTGGTAAGGGGGTTGTAAGAATGGTAGAGGAATAGATTTAAATAATTATTTAAATGTAACACACAATAGTAACAGAAAATTTACCATACTGTTCTATGGCTTCTTTCACAAGGATGACTATTGATAATGCCCGAAGAACTTTTGATTCCTTGTATTAAACCCATTAAGCAAATATGCAAATAACATTTACAAAGTCAGTCCTAAGATAATTAGAGTTTATTGAGCTTATTGAGACTTCTTTTATATTCCAAGGCCTGTTCTAAACTTTACTCACATTTTTGTCTCATCAAATCCTGTCGGCAACTTTATGAGGGAAATTTTATTTTAACTAAGAAATTAGTAGGCCAGGCGCAGTGGCTCATGACTGTAGTTCCATCCCTTTGGGAAGCCCAGGCAGGAGGGTTGCATGAGCTGCTGGGCAACATGGTGAAACCCTGTCTCTACAAAAAAAAAAAAAAAAAAGAGCCCACTGTGCTGGCACGTGCCTGTGGGCCAAGCTACTCAAGAGGGTGAGGTGTGAGGATCACCTGAGCCGGAAAGGTCAAGGCCTGAGTGACAGAGTGAGACCCTGTTTCCCACAGATCGTGGGATTTGAACACAGACCCATCTTCAGAGCTTTTAAAAAACATAATGAGTAACTATTTTTTCTTTTTTAAGCACACTGTTGTTGACTTAAACAATGAGTAACTCCTAAAACTCTTTTGAAATGACCTAAAATTGCATTTTCCAGTTATATGACTTAGAAAATTAACCAGAACATAAGGGATTTTAGTTTCTTTTTTAGATGAGACAAGCCTTCCTTATCATTGCTTTTATGATGAAAAAATAGACTACTTTGAAAAGATAAAGAACTAATGAGACAAGATGTCCTGCCCTGGAGGGGATCAGACTTGCAGGTCCTGTGTGTTCCCAGGCCAGACTCTGCCCTGACTTCTTGAGTGTCCCTCTGGCTTGGGTTTATGGAGGTTCCTAACTCTTTGGCAGACTAGTCATTAAAATAACAAATCACAGCAATTAGCCACTGTGCATAATGAAGCATTAATCCTTTTATAATGCTGGCTTTTTCAGATGGAGCTAACACCCATTATGGAGATTAACCACTTTTCATCAGGGTTTTAACTCTTAAGTCTTGAGGACTACAATGGTGAATACAAGGTGTGTATCTGAATTAATTCAGCAGTAGACTGACATGGAGGGGTTCTGTTGCTTTGAATGATTCCAACTTGTATACATTCAAAAGCTATTAAACTTTTTGGTGTCTCTCCAGATATTTTCCATATTGACTATTTTGGTTGAAATGTAGAGCTAGAATTTTCTAGTCTAAAGCTTGGATGTAAATGAGTGCATATTTACAGAGCTATCAGATGTTACATTATTTTTATTTCTTGGCATCTGGAATATAAATACTAAATTTGGTCTAGTTAGAATTTCCTGTCTCTCTCCCTCCCCTGCTTCCTTCCTTCTCAAAACTCTCTAAGGATGAAGACCCCACAAGCTATATTGGGGTAACTGTATTCTAACAGTAGTTACTTTCAGTTTCTATCAAACTAGATTAAAAAGACAAGTATCGCATGTTCTCATTCATATGTGGGAGCTAAAAAATCGATCTCATCGAGATAGAGTGTATTTTAATGGTTACCAGAGAAGCTAGGAGGATAGTAGGGAGGTGGGGGATAGGGAACAGGGGATAGTGAGGGGTTGGTTGATGGGTACAAAATTACAATGAGAAGGAATAAGATCTAGTGTTCAGTAGTACAGTAGAGTGACTATAGTTAACAGTAATTCACTGTATATTTTAAATAACTAGAGGAGTGAAATTAGGATGTTCCTAACACAAAGAAATAAGTGTTTGAGGTGATGGATAGATATCTTCATTACCCTGATTTGATCATTACACATCATATGCTTGTATCAAAATATCACATGTACCCCATATATATATATAACTATCATGTATCCATAAAATTAAAAATTTAAAAGAGAAAAGGAATGGAGAACAAAAGTAAAAAGATGATTCATCAAATATTGCAATGTAGAAAAATAGTGCGAAATAGCAAAAACTAGTACCTCATAGAACTTAATTTGTAATTTTAAAGAAACCATTGTAAGTATATTTACTCTTGGTATCGTGTCTTTCCCTCTTACCCTAATTTACTATTTCTCTATAGTTTAAAATTAAAGAGTTGCGTTTAAATTTTACAGGGCAAACATTGTACTGTTGAGACACAAAATGTTTTGAGGTGTCTGTGACCAGGCATGTCACGTGTGAATATACCACTGGACTTCAAAGCAACACATTGCAACTTTTTTTTTTTTTTTCATTTTACAACAGATTCATTTTATTTTCATCACCATAGGGTAACCTGTTGCTGAGTTCTCTGGGTCACACCTGTGGAGATTTCTCAGCTGCATCTCCATCTAGGTCTCTGGGCTTGGCCTGAAATTACTCGCTGCTCAGGGAGATAGTTGAGATGGTTGCGTCCCATTACTTTGTTGCTCCAGCTGCAGCTCGTTCTGATGGAGTTCCTCATTCAGCTCGTTGACCTGCTCTCTTTCTGAGGTGTTCTTAAAGCCATAGATTTTTGTGGAGCATTTTTCTTCCTGGCTCTCCGCCAAGTTGCTTTTCTTTTCTTTGCCACCTCGGGATTCTTCTTCACCACCTTGGGACTCTTTGCTACCTTGGGACTCTTCTTCGTGCTACTGGGCGTCGCTTGGGAGAAGGACTCTTCTTCCTTGTCCCCTTGGTGTTGGTTAGTGATTGTTCTTCAACTGCTGGACCGGAGGCTCTCAGTTTTCTGTTCATCTTCAGCAAGTTAATGTCTCTCAAGGGGCTCACGTTGCAGCATCTTACCAGAGGCCATTGGGCCCAGAGTTCCAGTTCCAGTGTCTGGAGAGTCCAGCTCAGCTCAGCAATCTCATGCCAGCTGGCACTTGTCAGCAGAAGCCGATGCCTGCCCGTCAGTTCTCTACTCTGAGGTGTTAGAGTGGAAGAAAAATAAATATAAATACTTACACTAGTTTTCATGAGCTCTGCTTAATATTGAGTGATTTTTTTTTTTATTTCGTGGTGATAGGTTTACCTTTCATTAAACCAGGCCTTAGCCTTTCTGTGGCTTTGTTTGGCAAAGCCTCATATTACCCTCTCCTCTGGTTCAGCAGGACAGTCAAGGTCTACACCTGAGGCTGTTTTCTACATTTACCTCAACATAAGATACCTTGTTATTGTCATTCTTCATCTCCGGATCCAAAGTAAAATAAAATGCCACAGGTTACTTGATCTTGCATCTGGAAGATGATTATTTAAAGAAATTAAACATTTAAAACTGAAAATGTAGTTTAGAAATATTTTTTAATGTTTTAAAAAAATTATAGGAGACAATAGTGTTACTAGATTTAATAAAATACAGAATGCCAATTAAATTTGAATTTCAAATAAACATTGACTGCTTAATTTTGGTATAACTATTCCATGCAATATTTGGGACATATTTGTTATATTACTCATTGTTTACCTGAAATTATAATTTAAACGGAGAGTCCTGTATTTTATCTGGCAACTCTATCATAAAAATATTTAGGATAAATATAAAGAAATAATATTTTTAATTTTTACAAAATATTTTAATACAAGTAATTTATTTGATTTTCATTGTCACCCTGAGGGGTACGTTTTTGCCTTACAGTCTGTGTTACTTTACCTGTGTTTTCTGAAAAGAATATCTCTTATACTGATAGCCACCACCACCACATCTTTTCAAGTATTAACATACTGAAACTTTACATTCATTTCTTGTAGTTTCCGCCTCTTCATGATTGTTTCTGAGGTAATTCACCTCCTGCATCTCCATTTGCAAGTCTAGGTTAGTCTTGTTCAAAGTCAACTCATCCAAGACACTTTGTGGGCCCTTGCTATCAGCCTCAACACACTGATAGAGGACAGCTTTACTCTGGTATCTGAACAGAGCCCTGTTAGAAGAATCAATACAGCTTAGATGGAGGTCTCCTCATGCAGTGGTAATAGAACATCTCACACACTGGAGCTTATAGAGCACAGCACTGGGGTGTAAAGACATGGGTTCAATTTGCATCTGTGCCATGTTCAGCCATCATTTTGGGCAAATTACTTCTCTGAACCTTAGTTTTCTCATCATAAAAATGGGATGTTACAGGTTTTTTTTTTTTTTTTTTTTGAGACCAAGTCTCACTCTTCCACCCAGCTAGAGTACAGTGGCATGATCTTGGTTCACTGTAATCTCTGCCTCCCAGGTTCAACTGATCCTCCCACCTCAGCCTCCCAAGTAGCTAGGATTACAAGTGTGCCCCCACCATGCCTGGCTAATTTTTGTATTTTTAATAGAGATGGGGTTTTACCATGTTGGTCAGGCTGGTCTCGAACTCCTGACCCCAAGTGATCCACCTGCCTTGGCCTCCCAAAGTGTTGGGATTACAGGCCTGAGCCACCACGCCCAGCTAAAATGGGAATATTGTGAGAATTAAGTGAGTTAATGTACAAAAGTACTTCACACAGCATCAATGTTCAGTAAATGGTAGGAATAACTTTATTACCGTCATGAAAGAGTGAAAATCTCTCCCCTGCTCTTTGACGAGGAAAGGAAGCAAGTTCCTTTTCAAGTACAGGGGAATGCACCTTTTTTTTTTTTATAAGGGCTATGTCTCCCTAGTTAAAAAAAATTTCAAGTACAGTACGGGGACCTCCTGCAGTTCTATAAAAACCAAGTCTCTGACCTATGGATTGGAGAGTCATACACCATACATGAGATTTTATTTTATTTTATTTTATTTTATTTTTTGAGACGGAGTTTCACTCTTGCTACCCAGGCTGGAGTGCAATGGCGCGATCTCGGCTCACTGCAACCTCCATCTCCTGGGTTCAAGCAATTCTCCTGCCTCAGCCTCCTGAGTAGCTGGGACTACAGGCGCGCACCACCATGCCCAGCTAAATTTTGTATGTTTAGTAGAGACAGTGTTTCACCTTGTTGACCAGGATGGTCTCGATCTCTTGACCTCGTGATCCACCCGCCTCGGCCTCCCAAAGTGCTGGGATTATAGGCATGAGCCACTGTTCCCGGCCCATACATGATATTTTAAATTGCTAGCCTGGGAGTTTTCAGATTGCTAGCCTATGGCCACTATTGTAATTTAAACATAAGATATTATTTTATGTTGAGGTGTTTAATATGAAATAATGATATTGTACATTTTATAGTAACATTGTTTAAAGTGAATCAGGGAGTGTGTGTGTGTGTGTGTGTGTGTGTGTATCAGTTCTTCACGTGGTTTCTGACTTACTTGAGCTTGAAGTCATCCACAGCCTGGAATTGTGGATCTAATGCAGAATGTTGGCATTTTCCAAAGTAACATTTGTTACCTTCGAGGGAGGAAAAGGAACCATGTAATTCAACAAAATATGTTGGTTGCCATTAGGTCCAGATTATTTACTTCATGGATTTCAATAATTAAAAATTTGTCAATCATAATTATATTTGTGTTAGGCATGGTGGCTCATGCCTGTAGTCCCAGCACTTGGAGAAGCTGAGGATGGAGGATCACTTGAGTCCAGGAGTTCGAAATCAGCCTGAACAACATAGTGAGACCCCATTTCTACAGAAAATAAATTAGCTGGGAATGATGGCACATATCTGTAGTCCCAGCTACTTGGGAGGCTGACGTGGGAGGATTGCTCAAGTCGGGAGGGTGAGGCTGCAGTGAACTATGATTGTGCCACTATACTCGAGCCAGGGCAACAGAGTGAGACCGTGCGTAAAACAATTATTTGTATAAATATAAATTAGATAAACAGTAAATTTAAATTTTTCTGGGACCATTATGTAACTTTTGAGCTAAATATATTTTTTAGAGCTTCTGAAACACAGAAGGATAAATGTTTCTCTTTCAAATGAATGTCAAAATATTTCATGTTAATTTTTATGCTTGTTAGACATTTTTCTCAACATTAGATGCATCAAGTAATCAGAAAAAATATATGCTGGCCAGGAGAAAGGGTTGTATTTTCTACATTTGAGACAACTTACCTGAGTTTTAAGGTACTTGATAGTGTTGTAATATTTGCTACAGTCTCAAGGTTGACCATCAGTTTTCCCCCCCAAATCCTCATGCCATCTTATTGAGTGTAAGGTCAGCACTGGCATTTTCCAGGCAATGTAAGTTGTCAAGGTAACAGGTCTGGCATTTGTTTAAATTCTGTGTGGTTTTCCTCTCATTACTTGGAAGAAGGCCACCACTATCAGAGCCACCAGAATTTCACAGGCCCCTCTTTGGTCCAGCACTCATGCTACTCCACCCTGAGCCAGGACCCAGCCTACCCTCAACACCATAAAAGCCACCAGATGGCCACTACCATGGCCTCTGTGCTGTCTTCAGCCCCCTACAATGACATAGCTTCTCTCTGAGCCTTAACAGACCCACAGCCACAGCGGTCAGTGCCGCTGTGCTGCCACAACCCAGAGGAAAAAAACATTGTGTGGAGGTAGCAGAGATTGACGGTTAAAGTTTAGCCCCAAAGTCAGTGCACTCTGGGGGCCGTTGTAAAGCCAGCCTGCCTGTCTGTCTATCTATCTATCTATCTATCTATCTATCTATCTATCTATCTATCTATCTATCTATCTATCAATCATTACGTCATCTTTAATGAACAATTTTTTTTGAAGTATAGGTTTCTTTGGTTAACAATCTTCTCACCTCTTAGTGATTGATGAGCCATATATGCTCAAGTGCTATTTCATCAGGGTGTTAGGGACATATAAGAAAACTGTGTGAGCAGGAAAAACAGAAAAGACCACCATTTCATGACTGTCTTTTGAATTATGATGAGTGACTATTTTTTGAAACACTGCAGGCATTCCTCTAATGGAGATCCTTTCTCTCATTCTGACCCTATAGTCTAAACATTCTCATGCTCTTGCTCAGTTTGCATCTATTTTTTCATGAAAACTTCCAAGCTTACCTCAGGCCCCTTTCCAAGGAGTCTGAGTAGTGCACACTGCTGTAGAGTTAAATAGATCTTTGAGTCCTCGCTTATTGTTTCTCAGCTTGGACGAAGTTACTTATCTTCTGTGAATCTCAGTTTTTTCATCTGTACAAATTACAAAAGAATTTGGAGTATTAGTGAGAAACAAGTAATTGCATTTGGCACATACTAGGCTCTCAATGAATGCTTGTTCTCTCCCTTCTTCTCTCCCTGGTCCCCACTCTAGCCCAAAGCAGTCTCTAAAACTCATAGCCCTTATTATATCACACAGTCATTCAAGAGATATTTATTGAATGCCCAATATGTACCAGGAAGTCTTATGGGACTATTACGAGCCCTGGTTTTATTTGGTTGTCATACATGTGTCTTGATCAAGGTCCCTCCTACACTCAGTGGCTGAGCACTGAGTCTAGATATCCGTGCATACCCTAAACTGGACAGAGATGCCTTTGTACAAAATTAAGAAGTTGGCAAAGTTTTCCATTTGTGTCTATACCTTCTTCCCTTTTTCTTCTCTAGGTTGAAATCTCAGTCTGCACTTTGTCTGAAGCCATGGGCTTTCTTGTGCTTTAACTCATTTTTTCTGTCTAGGTAAAAGGCATGATATTGTTCATTTACACTGTAGAAACATAGTATTTGCTGTATGTCTTTCAGGAAACTAGACATTTGAATTCTGAGCTTTTCCTTTAATTATGAAATGAAAGTTTGTTCCTTGTGATAGAAATTTCAGTTCTTGGTGAGGAGGAGAGAATTTATTTTGGGCAGAAATTTGCTGAAATTGCACTTTGCCCACTTGAAAGACCGGCCTTAAACAAGTGTGATTTTGTCTTTTTAGAATACGTGTGGGGGAGTAGACTGAAGAGAAGGTGCACGTTTCTCTCTTTTACCCCTCCTTACTCTGTACACAGATGTCTTCCAGCTCCTGTGCCCACGTCTGAGTTCTGTTCCTGGAGTTCCTTCTGAATTTCTGAAAGTTACCTCTTCTTCAGACTTCTTCCTTCTGTGACTCATTCCTTTCTCATCTCCCAGTCTCTCCTAAGAATCCAAAATATCTGCAAGTGGAAGCTCTGTGCCAGCTCATTCCCTTTGCCATGATCTCCATCTCCTCCACTGCACCCTGTCCTCACAACAAAGAGATTGTTCTGTCTTCTCTGCATCAGCCTCCCATGGCCCTAAAGACCCATGATTTTGTTACACTTAGGTGCACAGGATGGAGAGGATGACTGTTATGCATGATTAAGGAATCCCTTAGAGAATGAGGGGAGAAGAGCATGGAAAGATAGTGGAGTCTCAGCTTTCATCAGGGTTTCAAGAGGAGACACTGATTATTGGGAAGTTAGATTCAGGACAGGTTTCTTTTTAGTATTGGTGTGTGTATTTCTATAGCAGAGAGGAAGAGGAATTAAACTTGGCATGTATCAGGAAAATCTGCCAACAAGAACATGAATACAGGTACTTGAGAACTAATAAAATGAGAAAAGAGAAACTAGATATTACAAACATGTAGTAGCAATAATCTAATTCAACTACATGTATTGAGTGCTGACCCTATAAAGCTGTTTTCCCTTCCATATCCTCTTTCCACCTTTCTCCATTCTGCTCTCGGCACCAGGAAGATAACCTTGCCCTCTGGCTTTCATTATGTTTGCCCAGTGGGGACCCCAGTGGAGAGAGGGAGAAGAATGAGTTTGGGGGATTTATTCCCCTCGCCACCTCTGCAGCTTGGTTGGATCCTTTTATTGAACACCACAGCTTCTGTTGAGATGGCCCTTTCTGTGACTTTACCTTTCTAGTTACCTTTCCTTGTTCTTTAGGCATGGGGGTGACACTAGCTACCCGATGGTTTTCCTACACCAAACCCACACCTTTATCAATAGTTCTTTTCTTAAATTTGCCTTGATGTATCCTAATTTGAGTGTGCCAGTTGTTTCCTGCATGGACCCTACTGTATGATAGGTCTTGTATAGAGTCTTTACTCTAAAGGAGGTTAATAGGAAAATGAATAATTGCAACACTATGAAATAAGGGTTAATACTTGCTTATCAAAGTGTAGGATCCAGACCACACATTATTCACATTTCTTTCTTAAGACTTAGCATAGTGCCAAGTACAGAGCAGGTGCCTACCAATGTGGAAAGGTAGAGGTGTGCATACTGGGTGGGGACAAATGAAGGATAGAGTTGAGAAACTGTTCCAGGAAGGCCCAGGTGGCTTCATAGTTTAATTACGTTGGTTAGAAACAGATTGTTTGCACTAAACAAGAAGAGAATTTACTAGAAGGATATCATTGGCTTCTAGAATCAATGGAAGGTAGGATATAAGAATTGGAGGACAAGGAGAAGCTGAGGTGCTTTGGAGGGCTAGTTTACACAAACCACAGCAAAATTCACACAATTGCTATGATCTCCAGTGTGTGTTCTCACACATTGGTCTCTTGTTCAAATTTCAGTGTCCCGATTGGCTAAGTCTAAGTGGTGGGAGGGGCTGCTATCTCCTCCTCCTACTGCACACACTAGGACTGCACACCCCCTTTCAGGGGCCTCTCCTGAAGGGACAGCAGCTACTTTCTACTTCATATGGTTTTTATTACTTAGTTGAGATGCTAACGTGTTCATGACCTTGGGCAAATGGTTTAATACAGATATATGTGTATCTTAATAGTTTAGATGAAAAGAACTGATTTCTGAGACAACTCTCGAGAATCTTTTTTTCTTTCATGATCAAGTAATGTTAATTTTATGCCCTACATATTGCATCTTGTGCTGATCCCAAATCTTTAATGGTTTAAAATGTGGGTCTAGCCCGGGCGCAATGGCTCATACCTATAATCCCAGCACTTTGGGAGGCTGAGGCAGGTGTATCACTTGAGGTCAGGAGTTCAAGACCAGCTTGGTAAACATGGTGAAACCCCATCTCTACTAAAAATACAAAAAATTAGCTGGGGGTGGTGGCGGACGCCTGTAATCCCAGCTACTTGGGTGGCTGAGGCAAGAGAATTGCTTGAACCTGGGAGATGGAGGTTGCAGTGAGCCGAGATTGCACCATTGCACTCCAGCCTGGGTGACAGAGCAAGACTCTGTCTCAAAAAAAAAAAAAAAAGCTGGGTCTATAGAATCTTCACATTTTAGAGCTGGAAAGGATCATGGAGATAATTTCCAATGCCTTATTCTAAAGAAGAGTAAATGAAATTTAAAAACGGTGGATGTGACTTGTCTAAGACCACTTCTTTAACCAAGGAGTGGAATTGTTTCTGTTTGATGTAGTCCTTGTGAGTGTGTTGGTGTTTAGGCTGTGTCAGCAGTAGAGTGAGGCCAGTAGACTACGACCCTCAAGTCAGCATGGCAATTGCCTTTTGGCCTAATTGATGTCAGACATGTTGATGCCCTCAGAAGAGATTTGTCCCTGAAGGTCCCTCCTTTCTTTATCCCTTCTGGGAAAGGATATGGGGATTTCTATCATAGGAAAAGGAAAAGTGGCTGGAAAAGGATATCACCTTCTTTCTGTAACCACATTACTCTCTATGTGCTGTTATTATTCTAATTATCACATTTACCTTCAGGAAGTTCCACAAATCATGCGCAACATAACACTCCCACCCAGAGATTCAGAATTCATTCCCTCCTTTGCCAAGCACCACTGCAAATAAATCAAATAAATTGTTACTATTGGGAATATTTTGTGTCCTTGAGCTGCTTTAGGAAAAAAACATATTGAGAACCACTGATAAGAAACTCCATATTGCAATCTTCAGATTGCTTTTGAGTGGGGGAAAGACTTGAGAAAAGCATTGCTTCAGAAAGATTAGCCTGTTGGAAGTATTCCAATTGGTTTGAGAGAGACTGGGAGCAAGGGAACCAGTTAGGAGAATGTTAGTGTCTAGATATGCCATCATGGACACAGAAAAAAAGAAGCCAATTGAAAGAGTGATAATGATTATTTGATTATTGATTGGTTATTGTGGTGGTCAAGACCAAGAAAGTGGCAGAATAGGAAAGCCAGAAGAGTGGTTTACAAGTGCAGATACGGAATTGGAAATGATGGTCGTACTTTCTCATGGTCAGCCTTTTGCTTTCTTTAACATGTGTTGGCGCAGGCTTCACAGGCAGACAACACTCCTAGATGTATATTGCTAGCTGTTTAGAAACTTTCTTCCAGTCCTCTCAGAAAACCTGTTCACTGCTGCAGGTAAGGTAGGAGGAACGAGAATATCTCAGGTGGGATCAGGTAATAAGCTAAGAGGATATCTAGTTCTCTGTGGCAGCCTTATCTATTGGAATTACAGAAACCAGCTCACCTCTCTTCTCCTTGTCTCCTCATTAGATGAAAGGAAAGATTATGGGAGCAGTGGGTGGGAAGAGTAGTTAAATTGCAGGGGTTAACAGAGTTAAGTAACAATGATGATGAGCTCTTCCCCTGAAGAGCCAAGCCTGAGTGCCAAGGTGGGGCTGCTTTTGCTCAGTGTGATAGAGGGTGTTTCCCCGGTCTCTGGGGAAGGAGTAGAAGAACCAGTACCTGCTGAGGTTTCCATCCTTGCATCTAGATCTTTGTTTTGCTGCCCTCTCCCTCTCTGCCATACCACTCTCCCACCTGCCGCCAGCTATCCTGTGTTCTGAAGTTGCTGCCTGGTACCCCAAAGCCACATGCCAGTTTCGTTTGTCCTCCTTTGACTTGCTCCATTTCTCTGTTTTTTCCACTTTCCCTACTGAGGCTTCTCAGCCTGCCGTGGGAATAGGTATTAGGAAGATAACCATCTGGTGAGTCTAATTCAGTCTAAGGTGTGACTTACTGACTGCCAAAGGTGGGTAGGGTTGGAGAGGCATTCACTGAAGCTATTTACATTAAAAAAAACAAAAGTGTCAGTGCAGTGGTTAAGAATGGGAAGATAGTTATAGATATAGTGGCATTTGACTTGGCTGTTTGCAGGTTGATGATGGAGGGCCTCTGAGATGGCAGGAGGTTTCTAGTTTTGAACTTTGGGGAATGCTGTTGACTGATACGTAAATGCAAAGGAGGAGAATTGTTTGTAGGAAAGGTAACACATCTAAGTGGAATACTTAGATAATAATCCAAACGGAATCTCAGGCACTGTGGTGGTACAGATTTGGAAGAAAAGATTTTTCTGTATTCTTCCAATTAATACCACTCGATTGTAAAATTAACTGTAGCAAGAAAGGCACCTTGTCTTTAGGCCTCTTTTCCTCACCTTCTGAAGGGAAGGGGCAGTATCTTGGCTCTGATTGTCCCATTTGTTTTTTTGGTACAATTCACTGAATATGTATTATATGTCATATATTTTACTGGGGTTCTGAGGATAGGTAAGATGTGGTCCTTACATTCAAGGAAGTCCTATCTTTTGGGTCAAAGGGTAGGAGACAAGGCACAGATAATTACAAAATGGGATGAAGAGTTTGAAAATACAGATTTATCTAACGTAGAAGAAGCACCAAGAAAGAGAAATAAGTTTCTGGAGGACTTAATGAGATGTCTTTTGAATGATGTCTTAAAGAATGGCTTAGAATTCATCGTATGGGGGAAATAAAAACCTCTAGGCCAAGGGACCAGCACGCATAAAGGAGACATAAACACGCACGGCATATTTGAAGAACTGTGAAAAGCTTGGTTTGGCTGGTACATCAAGTTTATGCGAGTGAGTGCCAAGAAATCAGACTGGAAAATAGGTTTGGACCACAAGAGAAAAGATCTTTAATGCCATTCTAAGGAATTTGGACTTGATCCCTTAGTCATGGAGTGGAGCATTGAAAGCTGCTACATAGGTGAGGAGCATGACCTTAATTTTTAGAAAGACAACTTTGTTGACAGTGCCCTAGATGGATTGGAGGGAAACTGGATGAAGGGAGATGAGATGGGGGAATTTGCAAGAGTTTGGGGAGGGGAAGAAACAATGAAAATTTCACAAAAGTTTCAGTGCAGTAGTAAGAATGGGAAGATAGTTATAGATATGGTGCCATTTGACTTGGCTGTTTGCAGGTTGACGATGGAGAGCGTCTGAGATGACAAGAGGTTTCTAGTTTTGAACTTCAGGGAATGCTGTTGACTGATATGTGAATGCAAGTGGGGAGCAGTGTTTGTAGGAAAGATAACAAATTTAGAGAAAGGATGATTGAAACTGAGGTACCTCTCAACATTCAGGTGAAGTTATTCCATAGGCAGCTGCAGTGTGGGTCTGAGATTAGGAGAGAAATTCTGACAGAAATAATGCCAGTCTGGATAAATAGACAAATTATCAGGATAGAATTGTCTAGATCACTAATGCATTCACTGCGATGGCTTCAACCAGAACACAATTTGCAAAGGACATTAGAGGTCATTACCAGGATTCACATTTCTTGCATTGCCTATTACAGGGTGTACGGTAAATTACTTAATCTCTTTTAATCTTCTTCATGAAGATTAAATAATCTTCCTGAGATTATTTAATGTGAGAAATAATATCCAATTCATAAATTTGAGTCTACCAATTTAGATAACACATACAAAGTGTCTTCTCATAGTGGGTACTCACAGATGTCTGTCCTTTCTTGCTTCTCTTGTTAAATATCAAACACCAAACAGAACCCCTTATCAGATGTCTCCAGTCTCTACTGGAATATTTAATAGTGACAAGAAACTCATTGTCTTACAAAGCACTCTACGTACCTTTTTTCCTTTTTCTTTTTCTTTCTTTCTTTCTTTTTTTTTTTTTGAGATGGAATCTCCCTCTGTCGCCCAGGGTGGAGTGCATTAGCTCAATCTCATCTCACTGCAAACTCCATCTCCCAGGTTCAAACGATTCTGCCTCAGCCTCCCAAGTAGTTGAGACTACAGGCATGCACCACCATGCCCAGCTAATTTTTTGTATTTTGTAGAGACGGGGTTTCACCATGTTGGCCAGGATTGTCTTGATTTCCTAACGTCGTGATCCACCTGCCTTGGCCTCCCAAAGTGCTGGGAATACAGGTGTGAGCCACTGCGCCTGGCCACCACTCCACGTATCTTTTAAGTGCTCTAATTATTTAAAAAAAAGTTTATCTTTCTATTTAACTGAAATCTGCGACACAGAACATCGCTTTGCTGATGGGGAATCTTTTAGGTATTTGGCAAGATTACTCTGCCTTTCCACGTCTTTCGTTTTCCAGGTTATGGATCATCAGTTCATTCAACTGTTCCTTAGATGACATGGTTTTCACTTCCATTATCATGTAAGTTGCCTTTACTTGGATCACTTCTAAATCCATAGGATTAACCTGACCCCTTTTTCTGTTTCTAGTATTAGCTCAAGGAATATTTTTTCAGGAACGCCTGCTGTGTTTTATACCATTTCATTTGATCACCAGCACAATGTGAATTCCAAAGATATAACACAGAATTTGTTGTTTTCATATTTAAATTTACAGAAATTATTTAAATTTAATTACTAGCAACATATAACCCCCCACCCCCACGCCTTGGTTTCGGGGTTGGGTTTCAGGGTGGTTCAGGTGTCTTGAACACATTTGTAATGGAAACTTGATAAACTCCCGTTTTGGGTTCACCCTCTTCATGGGCGAGGGGCCAATGTTTGTCACTTAGATTAGCTAGCTGGCTTGCAAGCTATAATTATCTTCCTCCTCCAATTAAAATCACATTTCTGTATTGCCACATGTAGTTATTGCAAAATCTAGCAATACACCTTGGATTTTTATTTCCCTTTAATCTGACTTTCCCTGACAGTTCATAGTTTTTCTTATGGTTTGTTCAACTCTTAGGTGTTGCTGTTATCCCACTGCTGAGCAAGACACAGTCCCCAGTGAAGAGTGATCGGTGGGCACTTTACAATAGTGTTGGTTTTGTTTTCCAATGTCTCATTTGCTGTATTAGAATGATTAAAACACATTATTATATTATTATTCTGGATTTGATTAATAGAACTTTGGATGACTCATATAGTAGAGCTGTACCTATGTGACAGCATAATTGGATCCAAAATGAAAAATTCAATCCACATAGGCTTTTATTTTAAGCTGTACCAAATGACAGGCTTAATTAATAGTTTTCATTGGATTTTAGCCAATCCATTTACCTGAATTTTTCGATCATGTGTTAACAATGTGTAAACCTAATGTGATGTTTCTAAACATCATTTCAACCTACATCTATTTGGCATGCTCACATTCTGCCAGATGCTACATTAAGTACTGGGGACTTATTTCTGATGGACAATAATACAAGGCCCAGCCTTTGAGGAGGAATGAGATACACAAATTTGTCTTCTGAAAAGGAAGTGCAGACTACCTGGGTCAAGGAACTTAGGGTTCTTAGCTGATGAGATGAGTACTTCATCTTATGGGAAGGCACTCCAGAGGGCGCGTTCTTTGGTCCTATTCTTGCCGATCCTCTCCCATTTAATACCATATATTGAGATTTTATATACTCCTCAAGGCTCTGCTCAGATGCCTTTCTGCTGTAAGAGCGGTCCTCATACCCCAGCCCCTTTATATTCTCTCCCTCTTCCAAACTTCTGTGGCAGGTCACTTTATATCTGAAGCAAGGTAATGTTATTTTCATACCTGAATAGTCTGCTCCCATTTGCTTCCATAGTGCCCAGTCAATATTAGTTTGATTGAGAGAAAAGTGTATTGTATTTATTCATTTTTAATTTTTATTCCTAACCGCTAGACCACCAAGAAGAGAGAAAAGAATTTTTTTTAGATAGAACACCTCTGTTAGTTAGGGAAACAAGTTCTATTTCGATCTAGCCTGCCAAGAGTATTACTTTTTCTGACTCAGTATTTTCATGCAAAGCCATTGTTCCATCAGTCATTTTAAGAGAAGTCAGTTTTGTGTCTATAGTTAGATGATTACCTACATACAAAGCACACTTTAATGATGAATTAGAGGATTCCAAGGTTGCCTTTATAAGTGAATATCTGCAGATACTTTCTTTTCTTATAAATACCACATAGAAACCAAGTATACTCTATGTTTTGAAAACAACTTTTAGTGTTCTTTGGATGTATGGGAAAAAGTCCTCAGGTTAATTTCCTTAAGGAAAAGCATCATAAATTCAAAGACTGCTTGTTGAAACTGAAGATCACTTTCTACTGAGTCACCAGATATTGAGCAATATCATTTATATCAATACGCCTTGTGAAATTGTCAAGTTAAAGATTGTACATATTAGATAAAAAAATTTTATGTCCCTGTAGAGTGACAGGTATCTTGAGGTTTTTCTGGAAATATTAATTGAATTCAACAAATATCTCAGTAAAATGCAAACAACTTCTTGATGGATTTTTTAGTCCCAAACAGCTAGCCTAATTCCTTTATTAAGGTTTAGGGGGAAGGAAGGAAGTGGAATTCCATTTCATGTGATGCAAGCATATTTGAAATAGAGTAACCAAAGCAAATAGATTCAAATGGAATCTATGCAAGGCATCCTCTGCCTCCTTTGTGGTGGCCGCTGCTCAGCTGCCGTGCCTTGATAAGGTAGAGTTTGTTCGTTCAGTCTTTCCAAAGATAAGTGTTGGAAAATTTGGAGTTAAGAAATCAATAGATAAAAATCTGATGAATATTTCAAGAAAATAATAGAAGAAATATATTGCCACCATTCAGTGTTTGTGCAACAAATGTTATTGAGTGCTTTCGATGGTACCTAGAGAGTAATACAGGTGGCCCAGTGCAGTGGCTTATGCCTGTAATCCCAGCACATTGGGAGACGGAGGTGGACAGATCACTTGATCCCAGGAGAGTAATACAGGCATTATTCTGGCTTTTATTGAATGAATCGTCTAGCGTTTGTATGTATTTCTTTCTTTTTTTTTTTTGAGACAGATTTTTTTTGCTCTCGTTGCCCAGCCTGGAGTGCAATGGCACAAACTTGACTCATTGCAACCTCCGCCTTCCTATTTCAAGTGATTCTTCTGCCTCAGCCTCCTGAGTAGCTGGGATTACAGTTGTCCCCCCACCACACCCGGCTACTTTTTTTTGTATTTTAGTAGAGATGGGGTTTCCCCTTGTTGGCCAGGCTGGTCTTTATCTTCTGACCTCATGATTCACCCGCCTCAGTCTCCCAAAGTGCTGGGATTACAGGCATGAGCCACTGTGTCCGGCTGCATTTGTACATATTCTGTGCACGTATACCCAACAGGTATCGATTGGATACTGAATAGGAATTCAGTAGGCTATATGTACTGTTTTATGCACTGTACGAGATGGATGCCAGGGCTACAGTGGAGGGCAAAACAGACATGGCCCCCGCCCTTAGGGAGAGTACAGTGGTGGAGACAGACATTATTTCAATATTCACACAAATAAATGAAGAATTGCAAATTGTGCTAAGAGCTGTGAAGGATAAATAAGTATTCTATGAGAGGGTAGCATAGGAGAACCTGATTCGGTTAATGAGAGGGCATTCGAATTAGGACCTGACTGGTGACTAGGAGTTAGCCTGGCCAAAATGGGGGAGGAGGCTCATTCTAGGTAAAGAGGGAAAGTCTGTGAGAAGCTGCCAGAGTGGGAGGGAACATCACGTTAGAATTACTTGACTGTAGTAATGCCGTCACTCAGTGTATGTATATCAAAACTTCATATACTGTACATCTTAAATATATAACAAAATAAACAAGTCCAGTAGGTTTGGTGAAGATAGAGAGAGAGAAGGCACACAATTTGAGAGGGGGAAGAAGGGGCCAGGCCATACCTTGCTGAGTTTTGGCTTTTATTTCAAGGACAATGGGAAGGCTTTGAAGGGTTTTAAGCAATGGAGTGACTAGATCAGCTTTTTTCAGATGATCCCCCCAGCTGTGGTGGAGAGAGTGGAAGGGAGGTGGGTGCAAGTGGAAGCTGTGTGGTCAGCGGGGTGAGAGATATGAATAGTGGCTTGGACGAGGAAGCAAAATGCCAGATATGGCCAGCGCATGCTTAGGTACCTGTTGAATGAATGAATAAATACATCTAGGGATTCAAGATCATGGAGCTTGACCTAGTTAAAAAGCTACAATTGAAGGCTTTTAGACCAACATTGATAGAGGAATCATTTTTCTTGTATTGTTTGGTTAAAGTTCAATTTGACTAAAACGTAAAAGTCAGTTAAAATAATGCTTTCTTGGCCAGGCATGGGGGCTCATGCCTGTAATTCCAACATTTTGGTAGGCCTAGGTGGGTGGATCATGGAGATCGACATCATCCTGGCCAACATGGTGAAACCTCATCTCTACTAAAAATACAAAAAAAAAAAAAAAGAAATAGCTGGGCATGGTTGTGCGTGCTTGTAGTGCCAGCTACTCAGGAGGCTGAGGCAGGAGAATCGCTTGAACCCAGGAGGTGAAAGTTACAGTGAGCCAAAATTGTGCCACTACACTCCAGCCTGGTGACAAAGTGAGACTCCATCTCAAAATAATAATAATAATAATAATAATAATAATGCTTTAATGCTTTCTTATTTGGTGACTTTTTTTTTCTGACAAAATGAAACAAGTTAAATGACCCATAATGATCCTAAATAGATTTTTAGTTCACAGATAAATTATCATAAAGATACAAGATACTTGGATATACGTGTATAGCAAGTGTTTTATGATACATATTATACATGTTGGGAATGTAGTTTTATATGATTAAGTTTTCAGAGTGCCAATGCTTTGGAAAGTGCAGCTAAAATGTCTCCCTCTGGACAAACTGACAAATAATTGTGTAACCTGCTACTTCAGCTTTGTGTCTTTGGTGTTTTAATACTATGTTGTCCTTTAACTCCTCAGAAGTTATCTCCTCTGTCATGCAACTGTTCCCTATGTACCCTGCAGGTGACAGATAATCATGATAATGATGACTAAAACTTTCATCAGGTTCTCCTCCCTGCTGAGCCCTTCCTTTCCCTTGAGCAGTTCTCATCTTCCCGCTGGCCAGCATTCAGTTCTGGCTCCTTCAGCTCTGCAAGCTGTAAAAACACCTTCCGGACTCACAGAGGGGAACTGAGTGAAATTCTCCTAACTTCACATCCCCAGCAGGACTTTTTCTTACCCCAGCCTCTAAGTAATGACACTGAGAAATGGACTTCACTGTTTTGCTTTCCTGTAACACCACTGCAGGATTCTGATTAGCCTGGATCTAATTCTGCAGTTTTTGTTCCAGGATTCTCTCTCTTTATTGGAT